AATACTTCGTCTTTCTCATTTAATCTCTCAACTAATTTCCTCCTCTGTTTTTGTATGATTTTAGCTAAATTCATTGAACTTCGAACGCACTTATTAATCTTTGATTACTACTAGTTGATAGAATATTTCGTAAAGCCCTTAAGAACTCTATCCTCAATTGTTATTCTAATTAATTATCTGCCTTAGCGCATGAAGAAATACTTTTATAAAAAATATTTATATAAATTCTGTATTCTGTCTGTAATTATATTTTAATGCAGAGGTCATCCACTAGATTAGCCTTTGCTATTTGGATGATCCCAACTCGCTCTCCATTTTGTTGTTACCATTTTTCTTGTATTCCTTAGTTGTATAGTCTCCTTCGCAGCCGTTATTAGGGTCGTCACTCGTCACGCAACGCTCCTCCCCACTAACGGCTGCTCACGAGAGAGACGCATTCCTTTCCCTTTGTTTTTGAGAACCAGTAGAATGCACGTTATTGTTATCGGCTACGCCAATCAAATTGCTCGTTATATTTGCTGGGCGCTTGCTGTGCGCGCGAAAACAAAACATGACGAGTGACGACCCTAATAACGGCTGTGAAGGAGACTATTAGTTGTACTGTGTTTAGATGCCTATGAAAATTTAGGCTTTATGTCATGTAAAACTGAGCTGAGTTTAATAAATCATCTTGTCTTGTCTTAATCAAGTTAAATGTACTACATTCAGTACATTTCTAGGTCCTAAATATAAATGAGGAACTCTAAAATACCGCCGTTGGAATAAAAACAGATACAGTTATGAAACTCGATCAGCATTAAATATATTTATTATTCCCAGTCAGTAGGAGGACAAATTACGGAAAATTTTTGTTGGTTTTGAAACGTAATTTCTTGTCGTTAATTCCTCATTTAATTTAATTGCTCGAACGTGCTAATGGTAGTTAAATCGATTATCCCCTTTTCATTAATAGTTTTTCTTGAAAAGTTTTTTATTGATAAGCCAACCGCTACATTTCCTGTCCTTTTATGTAATTTCCGCATGGGAAATACGTTATGATTTTTGGCACGTTTCGATGATTATAAATTTAACGTTTTCATCTTAGTTAGTTCAGTTCCAGTGAAGACTTCACGGTGTCAGCTTCTGTCAGAGATAAAGCTACAGATAACATTGGTGCGTGTGCAAGCTAAAGTGAGTATAGTTGTTTCGCAAATCAAAGTAATATACAGTGAAACCTCTATTAAGCGGACACTCTCTGTCAAGCGAACACTAAGCCGGGTCGCGAAAGTAACGTCTTATATTTCTCTTTGTAACGAATCCCTATTCAGCCGACACCTCTATTATACTAGCCTGCGAACGGAAGAAGTTTCTCCTCGCTCATCGCCGTTCAGGGACGTTTCGCGATGAGCGAGGAGAAACGTCTGCCGTTCGCAAGCTACTATTACACGGACGAAGACACTAAAATAGTTTCTATTATTAAAGACCTCTATGAAGGGCGCGGACACCGGACTAAATTGACAGTAGTATTGGATTACGTCCTTGAAATACGTACTGTAGTCGATTTTAAAATAGATACATACATTTAATAAATGCATCTACGGTAGCTTTCAATAAACTGTAGATTAGACGATATCCGGTCGCATGATTGTCATCCGTGATCAAAGTTCACCGAAAAGTCTTGCACAAAGTATAGTACAGCTATGCACAATCAAATCCTTCCTTAAATCACAGTACAGGGTAACCGCTGAATGTTAATCGTTAATAAACATTGCGCAATTTTTGCAAGCCTCTATTATTAAAGCTAGCCTCCCACGCAGAAGTTCTTAGGGGGTTCGCCACGCGTTCCGGCCCCACGAACGTGAGGCCACTATTAAGCGGACACTTGGAAAGTTGGCACTTGACAAGTCTTTTCTCGTCTCGTCTCAATCCCTTATTGTAATAACAACGCCATGGTTTGCAATCGCGCTGGATGAGATAAGAACTAGACAGATTTTAAGAGAAAAGGTGGACTGCAAGCAGTCTACTCTCGATATTCACCGCTTGGCAAACAAAGGTAAGTAAACTTCTATGCAAAGATAGCTGGAAATCACGTCTATAGTTTGGGTGCCACTGCAGCGACGAGACCTCGCACAAATAATTGAGGGGATTCGGAGACGTTAATCTACAAATTGAAATTGTTTCTCTCTTCCACCTCTCAATTCTCGGCATTTTTAAGCAAGGCGGTATCAGTAAGGTTCACTCGTACAAGGCCTCTTAAGTGCAAAATGAAAAACCTGGACAAGAAAACTTGTGGAACAAGAATCGCCAAAAGGCGATTTTTAACTGGGCTGCCAAGGGACTATTTTTTCTGAAGGGAGGGGGCGGCTATACACACTCAGGCTACCATAAAACCTTGTCGGCAACCATTGCATGTGACAGAACCTTATGTGAGACTGAAACATAAACTCATTCAGAACATTGTACCCTTTTGAAAGACTTTTGTAACCCCAAAAAAAGAGTACCATTTTTAAGTGGGGGCTGTATAATAACTTTTAAATTCCACCATTATGAATAAAAATAAACAAGTTAGCCATTAATTTTAAGCAGGAAACAATTTGCATTATTTCCACGTACCCCTCCCCCAATCCCTCTGTGCCCCAAAATATAGCGTGACAGTATAACGTGACTAATTTGACGTAACTGGAAATTCCAAAAATTGTTGTCGTTCTACGAGCATAAAATGCGACAGACTGAGTTGATTTACACTAGACAGAAATATTGTATTGTATGAAAACCAGAAGTATACTAAAACAGACAGTTAACTGCTCATTGATCCCGCCTGATCCAGGGGCCTCACTGACTGCACGGAGACTTTACTGCGCTTTTTCACAATCATGCGAACTCTAAAGTTCAAAAGCCACCTTCACAATTGTGTTTATCGCTGCCGTCAATCATAATTACGATCACAAGCAACAAACCTTGAAACAGAGAAACACGCAAAACGGATCGAAATCCACAAATCACAAACCATGACCTTTTGAACCCGTTAAGTAAAGTTTTGTTTCCTAAGAGGTCCGTTAAGATGATTAACAGCAGCGAAAAACGCAATCGTCGGTTGGCTTCTGAACTTCAGAATTCGCATGTTTGTGAAAAGTGCGATCCTAATTTGCGGTCCACAGTCTACATGAAAACGCACTATTTTTTCCACAAGATGAAAAATATTCAGTTTTAAGATTTTCCTCATGGTATTTTTCTCTAAGTTAAAGGAATAAAATCCTTTGCATTTTGAGACCTAAAAAAGTTTAACGATTTCTCGCTCGCATGTTGCGTTCACCAGCACGCACTTCAAACAATGTAAATAGATGAAACAATCGATAACATATCTTTTACCTGATACCGATGCGAGTTAAAAATTCGCTCCAGTTCTGTTTGTCTCAACCTAGACGAACTTTTCTTCATGGAACATAACTATGCCGCTTTATAACTCGTCCGAAGTTTTTGTGCCAGCTAAACAATATGGAAACACGATTCACAGTCACTGTGACTCCTTGGATATTAAAAAGACTGAACGTGACGCACTATTATGCCTTTGTTTACTTCTCATCACATCTTCAAGCGAAGTCTCTCTTTTCAAGCGATTCATCTCAATGTACAATAATTGACCCTTATATTAGTTAAAACCCTATGGTTCATTTATATTAATGCTGTTTTTGCCCCTCACATTGACTGTGTTCGTTCGTATTCAAAACACCTTTACGAAAATAAAGGTCGTATAAGTCATGTGTGTTATCTTTCGAGATAAATGGATTATACGCTTTTTTAAGTTTCCATTTTGCGGTGACTTCAGTTTACATCTCCATAAAATGGTAAAAGAAATATCAAGAAACATCACAAGAGCTGAAAACTTTCAAAGGCATGTTTCTGAAACTCGCTAATGCTGACATCAATATAGCGTGCTTGCTGAATGGGCGAAAACACAGAATTGTGATCACAAGATCATGTACAAATTTAATGATAAAAGCTTAGGAAGATACAAATACAAACAAAAGCAAACTCCCTGAAACCTCGACGTGGGCTACACTTGTATGCTCTACTCAGTCACCAAACCTTGTCAGTAACAGCTCCTGTTTTCCTGAAGTCGCTCTCTGTGAAGCTCCCGGATGGGATGTCCCGGTGAAGCTTTAAACTTGTGTGCGAAATTCTCAGAGTCCCTATTTTTGTCCGTGTCTTCTTTATCCTCAGTATCCGAAATTTAGACCTCCAAAGTGGCGTGTGTTGCATTAAATAGAAGGAAATATTTAAAGGAAAAGCCAGTCTTCTAACATGGCAAAGTTGTCACGTCCCTCGCTCATGGACGTGCGTAGTGCCATTCATCGGCAACTGAGTTGTTCGCTTCACTGACTACGAAGGCTTACAATCAAGTCTTCAGCCATAGTGTCGTCAACTGATGAAATACCTTGCTCATAAATTGTGCTTCTTAATTGCTCATGTACTACATCGATCGATAATTCTCTCTTTGAGTTCACGAAGCGGCCACGGCGTTCCAAACCTGACGCTCACAGTCATCTTTTAGTGTGAACCTACCGTGAACGGCGTGTCGGTTTGAATGCAACGCGAGCATTTTTCCGAGTTTCCCGGCGCCAACATCATCTAACTGACTTAAACTCGAACAATAAAAAATAGAGTGACTCTCATGATCGAATCGCTTCGAACAACGCAAATAGCCTTTTTCAGGTTCGCAACGCTTTGTGGGTTTTTCAGGGGGAGCGTAGACGAGATACAAAAAGTATCCGTGCGAGGGTTCGTGCAAGAGAAAATCATATGAAACCATTTGTGAGAACATCGTATCTCGGTACCAGACCCTCGTGTCTTCCCTCCCCCGGGAGGCCGTTTTTCGCCGCAGACGACCGAAAGCCCATTTTATGACTGGGCCGCACAGGCCGCCCAGTAATAAAGCGGTTTAGCATGAAAAAGTCAATTATGGTAAACATATTTGCAATGTTTGATATTTCCGTGTCTATCTTCCGCAGCTTTGATCCGCCATGTCCATCACGTTGTACGATGAACAGTCAAACACGTACGAGTTTGCAGAGTCAGAACCGAATCTACTGAAAAGCCGTAATTTCAAAAAAGCCGATGTTACAGCAGGAACCTGGGTCCTCTACACTTATCCAAACTACAATGACAAGGAAGGGGGCACAGAAGACACTTTCAAGATTGTAAAAGATGGAGTAAAAGACGTAGACATAACTAGCGTCAATGGTTCCATGTTCCTGATAGACGGAGGAATTGTTTTGTTTGAACACTTTCTCTATGGTGGAGACAGAAAGGTACTGCGAATATAATCAATGAACTTATTCAGTAATAACTGGGGAAACCTATGTTCTCTTTGTTCTACTTTACTGTTCCTAAAGACAACGCAAATAGATCAAACCTTCCTCTCACCTGTGGATGTGAGACACCAAAGATTTTTTTCAGTTTTACGTGACTTAAAGGTTCAGCTGAAGCCGGTTAGAAAAGAGATTTCAGTGGCTTTTAACTTGAACTGGCTTTGTTTTGTGAACTCTGGTCTGGAATCATTATTTTCAAAAGAAACTAATTTTCTCGTAAAAAATTATCTTGCAATTCAATAATAATCTGCTAAGAGGTACGATAGTGTAAAATAAAGTAATATAGGATGAGTAACTTTATTTTTAACATGCTTGTTTCAGCTCAGTTAATTTTTAATATGTTTTAAAGTTTAAGTTCAGTTAATTTTTAATATTTTCAATATGTGTTTGCAAGCAGAAACCTTAACGGTCTAACTGAGATCATGCATCAGATACTTTTATTCTTAAAATCCACCTCGAATACGCATAAATATGTTCATGCATTCCCTCGAAAACCATACCCGCGTTCAGGCCAAAAAAGGTAATTAAGGGTATATCCGTTTTCAGACCAAAACGGCGCAAAAACCATACCGTTTGGGGCGACATGCACATACCTATAAAAATTTCTACCCTTTCATATATCTAAAGCCTGAAAAAGGTACCTCATTCGGGCGGCGCCTCCCCGTATATGTCATTATAGGGATCACTCCCTGGGGATGAATTCCACCTTGGTTTGTTAGTTTTTTTTTTCTGTTTGTACCGGTGTTGTATATAAAGTAGTCTTAATGCTGATCCAAACCTCACGGAGGTCTTTACTGACATAATCTGAGCGCTATCTTTTTATAATTTTTTTTTCTGTAGTGGTTTCAAGACAGTTGCGCTGATGTGAACAGTATTTTCCCAAGTGGAACAGCTCAAGGCGTCTCCTCTGCTATCGTTTTTTCTAAGAACCGGTCCGTAGACATCTTCACCAAACCCAACTATGAAGGCACGAAATTTACTCTGGAACCAGGAAAGTGGTATGAAAAGTTAAACAAAGGAGTCACGGGATTCGCGCTGAACGACAAATTGCAGAGCTTCAAATTTAATCCAAAAGCTTAAGATTTGAAAAAACTCAGCCTACCCGGCCAGCCAACTCCCAGTCCATGGCCATTTTGCTCGAGTTTTCTTTCAGTCTCGAAGTTATGTAGTTTTCGATTGAGAAGCCGATTGTAAT